AAAAAAAAAAAAAAAATTGTGTACGAACTATTTTATAGCCGAATTAATACGCTTTGACATCTAATGTCACATTTAATTGGCCTTAAGTCTCATTTTATGACCGCACGATCATTAAGGTATTTACGAATCTGAAAAATGTGCTCAAGTGCTTAGATTCGATGAGTATTTAAACACTTGGCAACTAAGAATCTTCATTTGTCAAAGTTGTTTACGAAAATCTGTTGATTAAGGTATTTATTCTGGTGGTTATGTGCCGACAGTTTCATTTAGTTGACAAATGGGTCGATTAGTAGGGAACTGAAAAAATAAGATTTGACTACATCTTTTTAAAATTCAGCAATTAATTGATAAATAACAGTAGCAGGAAATTACACCATAAAAAAATTTGTGTAGATTTCCTAGCTAAAAGGTAGGTTACTGATTTCCTACCTTATTATTCGCGAAATTATATGCTCGATTATTCAACGTTTAAATTTTGGACTTTTTAGAGTGTAATATAGCTGCTGTGGTGTGCGTAAATTTACTACGAAAGTGTGTACAAGCTACAAAATACACATCTACTGTTTGATTTCACCCGTAGAATTGTGTAAAGTTATCTAAAAACATACCCACGCTTCAGTTGTCATGGCAACAGTCGCTTTTTATAAAAATCACCAATATTTTTGCCAGTTTCACAGCGATCCAGTAGCGCATTTCAAGGTCATTGAGCACCCTGTATTGGTTGCAGTAGAAAATTGAGAGTTGGTATAGATGTTATAAATATCAAAATGAAAAAACTAAGGGGGTGCCCCGTCCTCTAGGATGAATTTTTTTGGTCACACTAGGGTGGTCCAAAAATGCATGTGAAAAAGAAAAGTCAGAATTTTTATGCTCTCACCCATTTAACCATTTTGTTATCGCAACTATAATTTATGGGTCCGCCAAAAACCCCAAAAAATGCAATGGGGCGACCAATAAAAAAGCGTTAGTATTAAAAAATGGTTAAATAATCAATTGGATATTTTTATTGAAAGTCTCCTTAAGAGAACCAGAGTTTTTCGATCGAAAAATATTGATTTTAAAGAATTCTATGCCATTTCTGCAAAAAATTTTATTTTTCTCATATAAAAATACATGGAATACTTTGAGCGACCTCTAAATATTTTTTGATTTCAAAATAAAAAATAGGGGTATACATACTCCTCTCGATATAGAACAATCCTAGGGGGTGAGATGACTTTACTGTTTTTGGACCACCCTAGTGTACACCCACAATATTTGTGCCACGTAGGCAGTCATGTTTGAATTTTCTTATAAATGCTGGTCTGCTAGTTTTTTTTTGCTGGGGACTATCCTTATACCATGTCCCCACCGGAGCTAACCACGTAGTTATGGCTAATGAGTTGGTTATCCCGGTAACCCACTTGATTTAGCGTAGTTTCGCCATATAAAAATGACAGCACATAACCATTTCACTGAGATGGTTAAAAGCTAACCAACTCGAAACCACGTCGAGATCCTGATAAAACCCTGTGTTTTCCCGCCATCTGTGGGTCATTAGCGTTAAAATGTAAAAAAATCGTTCCCTACTAGTGTTCGGAGTTAACTAAGATCCGGTCTTTAAAAAAAATTTTAAATCTACTCCTCTATTCCGGTTTCAGTAAAAAAATTGAAAGTTAGCCGAATTTCACTGTTAATTAGTAACTCTTTCATAGCAATGCGCCAATAAAGTAACTTGGTTTTTTTTATGTGTGGCTGTCGAAATTGGCGGATGCAGAACTTTTTTGTTAATATGTAGAATTAAATTTATATAAAGTAGAAAAGGTTTAGATCCTATTGCTCTTTAAAAAATTAAGTGTTAGATACGGTCTACTTTCTAGAAAATGCTAAAAATTACCTAATTACATTTTATCCTTACATTGTCTCGCGTTCTTATTTTTGCATGAATAGAAAATATTCAAGTCAAACAATTAATGTCAAAAACGAAAATAAAAAAATCAATCTAGCACGGAAAATTGGTTTTTGCTCCGATTTTTGCAGTCATTTAGTCCTAAATCGAGTTTTGCACGTCCGAACACTGTTCTTTACGTTTTTCCTCTTTTATAAACCTCAAACCGCAGTGTGGACAGCAATAGTTAGTGATGTGGTTAAGTTCGATTTGAGATGGTTATTTTTTTGGTGTGGACATGGTATTAGACAATCTCGATGATATCAAGGCGTAATTATGATTATAAAATTTGTGCCGCCAAGAATCAACTAATTTCAGCATTTTCATTTAAAATGCATTTAGAGTTTTCATGCATTTTTTATGATTTAAGATACATATGTACATATCTACAATATGATGTGTATGTATGTTTGCACCAATATGTATGTACTTGTATGAGAAGAATAAAGGCATTATTGGTATTATTCTGCCCACTGTATACAATAGAAATGTCTCACCAAGAGGCTATTTTGGCAATTGTTACATTCATATTTAGCTGAATGCTCTTTTTTTCGAAGCGAATGGAAGGAATGAACCTTAAAATTTTGGCTGAGGGATTAATGCGTAGCTGCCAAAAGAAATCCTCGCTTGGGGCGCACTACACAATGTGCCTTCTGGCCTGTGAACTACTTTACTATAAAAGAAAGGCATTTTTTTTTGCAATTTGCGCTGGTGGTCGTCTTAGCGCAGTTGCTCAATTTGTGCGGATATTTTCAATTCGCTATTGCACAGATTTTTGTGTTATTGAAGATGAGCGTAGAGAGCCCGATTGTGATGCAATCGAGCGCAGGCAATTCGTTTTTACAGCGGAGCGGCATTTGCCTATAGTTTTGGGTAACATTTTGGGTAACATTTAGTAAAGAATTGCGAATTTCGTATTTGCGATTAAGATGATTTCACAATTTTAACGCATTTTAATTTATCTACAGGTGGTGGCGATCTACCGCATTCGAAGCTGGGTGGTCCGTGGTGGTTTGATAGAATGTATCTCAAAAGAAAATTTCGTATACAATTGCGACGGTGTGGAGTTCTTTGACGGTGGAAATTCGCTGCCAATATACTCGCATGCCACTTCCAACTTGTCGCTTATCACTGTATGGACAATTGCGCTTACCTTTTGTGTCAACATTTGCACAGGATTTACCCAAACATACACACACACCATTCACGTGGGTGTATGTATATGTAAGTATGCGCATGTGTACAAGTGTTTGATCACTCCTCTTCGGTAGCTTCACTCAGTCCATTTGCTTAGCTCTGGATTTACCAAAATATACAAATAATCGCATACATATATATGTATGTATGTATCTATGAATTTATATACATATCTACTAAAGCACATCCATACCTATACATACTTACTTACATATGTACATACTTTTGTACTGAAGTGTGGGAGCAGTTCAAAGCCGAATCCAATTTCGTATTAGCATAACAATTGTTAACAACAAAACCGCAAATAACCGCATGCAAACAAAGATATGTACATATATATGTACATTAGGGTGCATCACCAAAAAAAGTTTCGGTTTTTCGATCGGAATTATATAATATATTATATCTTAAGACTTCCGCCAAAATATTTCGCAAAAATATAAAGATTTGCGCGAGCTAGAACGATTTGAAAATAATTCTTAAATCTCATTATGTACATATATTGATTCCGTGGATAAAATTTTTTAACATTTTTATTTAGGTCTCATAAGCTTAACACCTGAGCTGATTTAAAAACAAAATATTTTTAAAACTAATTTTATTTATAAAAAACTCGATTTTTAGAGTTATTTTCAATTGAGTCCAGCACACGTAAATCGTAGTATGTTTCTAAAATATTTTGACGGAAGTTTTTAAAATATAATATATGTATTTCATATTTCCGACGGAAAAACAGCACCGCTTTTTGTTTGGGTATATAAATCGATACACCCTAATGTACATACGTATGCTCTCATCACATCCATGCAACAGCGAAGTAAAGACTTATGGTAATCAGAGTTGCAACCCTACCTTTGCCACGTCGTACGAGTATATGTACCAACAAACCGATAGTGTTGCCGCTGCCATTGTTCAACCATATGCTATTGTTGTGTCGAGTTTTTGTTGTTGTTTTGAAAATCCTGCCTGCGGCCTGCATTTACATCGATATGCCAGGAACTACTTAATTTTATAAGTGTATACACAAAACAATTGGCACAGTGCGCAAAAGGGAGTGAGTGAGTGAGCTCGTCGGCCCGTGAAAATTACTTCATTTATATGCGTGAAATTTTTGCTTCGGAGGAATTAAAATGTTATCAGCCCAGAGCAAACGTCGTTTTTTTTTTTGATTTTTGCTTCATTGCAACACCACTTAAAGTCAGTGTTTCACAGAAAGATTCATAGTTTGTAGAGCGCATCCTGAAGTTTAGGCTAAAAAGTGGATGAATTTAAAGTTTTCATACATTTTTGAACGTAGAAAATACTACGTAGATATGTATGTTCGTATTTACCTGCTATAACATTTACAGTCTTCCGCATTCTACTATCAGGGCCGGATCAGCATGTTGTAAGACCCCTATCCAGGATAAGCCAGGTTGAAACGATTCATAAAGAGCACGGCGAATGGATAAGGGGTGACTGCCATAGCATCTAAGTCCACTCGGTTACAGCGGATCTCTGCCAACGTAGGCGATTTTCTCTCCCAAGCAAGATCCACTGCTTCAGCAGGAGCTACGTTACTATGGTAACCCTATGCAAGGAAAGTCCAAAGGATAGTTTCCCTCAAAAAATTGGAAGCAACCGGCAGACCTGTTTCGCTAACACCGAGCGTACAGTGCGGCTCAATATAATCTCGTGTCTGTTGATATTTGTGCGGCCAGCAGTAGAGCTCAGGACTTCACACATTTAAAGCTACCTACCAAGTCCAAACTACCGATTGACGTCGGGTGATAAGGGCGGATGAGGAAAACTTCATGAAGGTGAAAGAGGATATTAGCGAAATTCAAAAATTTAGATTTTGAAATCAAATTGTATGAATAGGTGCAGGTAGCTAAGAAAAACAGCGTTGGAGAAAGAACCAGTAACGGCACTGAAAAACGCTAAAAGGTACGAGAGTCTGTGGAGTGGAAGTTGGTCTAAACGAGTGCTATAGATGAAACAGGACCACGCGAAAACGCTAGAAATCTAGCGCAGCTGAGCCGCAGTGTTAGGATTACGTCTCAGATTTGAGGTAGTTTTTATTGGGGCTGACCAGTGTACATCAATGTTGGTAGAGAGCGAGTCTTTAAGGAAGATTTACTGAGTAAAAAGAGTGTGAGAATCTTGTGTATATTTAAACTAATAAATTTTCATGTTCCTCTCGTTGCAGATGTTTAGAAGATACCGCGCTAGAATTGTCTTATCAAACAATATCTTGGCTATCTGCTATAAATTTGACTTAAATACCGTTGATTAGTTTTCTGGTAACAATGTTACAGCTATATAAGTACTTCTACCAAACCAACTGTTTTTTTTTGAGGCCAGAATACATTGCTACTCATATTGCAAGCTCAGCTCTGAGTACAGTTCTTTAGTTGCGTCGCAAAAGCGACAAATATCAGATTCCTAAATTATGCAGACGGCCTCTTCTGAGCTCGCGTACTCCGTGATGATGCCAGTGATGATCTTAAGTTCCTATTTAGAAGCCTGTATCTTTATAGATTGTAGCCCTCAAAAGGATTTTGGCTTGACGACGTCGTGTTGTACTATGCCAATGTTTTTGTCTCCTTTGTGTTTGAGCCTATTACGATGAATAGTTCAAGACTTATGGGAACTGAGGCTTTCGCTTAGCTAGCTAAGTCCTCCGCTACCTTATTTTCCTGTAGTCTCTTGTGACCCGATACCCAAAGTAGCTATTGAGGTTCTCAATGCACTGATGGACCAGACACGATTTAACCTCAAAGAGTAGGAGAGCCCAGAGTGACGCCTGACTATCGCTAAGGATAAGTTCTCTCTTTGCATAACGTTTTATGGCATGGACCTCCTCTTGGATCATAGATGCCTACCAGAATGCCTTCTGGGATTTTAGAGCCGACCAGTTCATGTCTCTCCATAATAGAGTTACTCCAGTTTGCTTTGCTGTAAAGCTCTATTTTGACTGCGTTTTCGAAAGCTATTGCCCTATTTCTATCCTAGAAGTACAGCTCTGCCGAAACCATCTCCTGCGAAATTAAAGAGAGTTCGCTTGGCTATATGTTCTATGGTGCCATATGTAAGTGGCTCGAGCTCCAGAAATACCTCCAATGCTGTCGTCGGATATGTGCACACGCTCCTTTGTAACTCACACACAGTTAATTCTCGAAACCTTGAGCAACATCCCCAAGCCTTGTCTTTTTTTTTAGTTTTGTGTTGTGTCGTTATTGCAGCAGAGTAAATTTGAATGACACTAAAAAATGCTTCCAATCGAAGTCCAAAATTCTTGACTGACATATGGATCTGAACCGCTTTGCTGCCCATTTCTGGAACGACATTGAGCAATTTCATGGATTCAAAAGCCATGGGCTGTTAGCTGGGCGCTGAGACGGTAGCAATAGCGCGAAAGTGGCAATCACTGACAATTTACGAGATGTACTCCCCATGGTGTGTTGATTTAACAGTTCAACCGAATTGAAATAAAACACACGGTTCTCAGAGCACAACAACAACAACAACAACAACAAAAATAAAAACAAATAGCGCTCGAATTGTGAGGCTGATAGTTGGAGTTGGAATGCAGATGCCGTTTCGCGTTTGGGGCGGCTGTTATGTACATACATACATACATACATACATACATACATATGTATATTTGCTCGTGTGTACGGTATTATTTCGAGGTTTGAGTTAGTACTGCCAAATAAGCATAAAATAAAATACCACAGATGGACTACGCGCAGCAATTTTCCAAAAGTGACAGCGAGACTGACGTTTAGTTTTCCTGAAAATGATTTCAGCACATTCGTGTGTGCGTGCATGTGTGTGCGTGTGTGCGTGCGTGCTTGGACAGGAGCAGAGCGAGTTTGTGCGCGTGTGGATATGCAGACATGATGCAGCTATTTATTGCACAATTTGAAATGCTATGCTAAAGATGATGATCCATTGGACCCATTAAAATATGCAACGCAACAGCAGGCGCATGTTTAGTTTGCCCTCTAACGCCCCCAGAAGCGCAGTTGTTGGGTGGGTGCGTCGTGTGTGTGTGTATAGGAATGCGATGTCATGTTATTGTAACCCCATGTACGCGGATGCGGATCGATTACGGCTGTGGGACAGAGGTCGGTGTATTATCTATTCGAGTTATTTTGTTTTTTTTTGTGAACATACATATGTACATAATGGGAACTAAGTAACACAATGCAGTACTTTTACATAAATACGCTTGCCTTAGAGAAAAGTCGATTGGTGTGGCTTTGAATGTTTTGTTGATTGGTGGATAGGATCCTCTGCTTATTTTAATGCTTTTGGTTGTTGTTGTATGTAATTTGGTAAACTAATTGTTGCGTTGTTTTGACAATACGGAATTTGTAGCATTTCATTCGATTTTTAGTTGTTTGATTGATTTGATGGACAGGCAATGTGCGCACTAATTACGTATGTATGTATTTAGCCGGCTGGGTTGGGTTGAGTTGGGCTGGGATGGGTGCCGTGCCGTGCCGTGCCGCGGCTGACATGTACTATGTATGTATAATGATTCCGGAAGCAGCTTTGCCTGTACTTTCTCGCTATCGATGGCAGTGCACATGTGCATAGCTATTTCTTTTGTTGTTGTCATTGCTGCGGCCACTATAATGGGAACTACAATCACTCAATCATTGTTTAATTGCTTATGGTGCATATCAACATAGGAATTTGGTTGACTCGCTGTAATTATTTTGATGTTTGTAAATGTTTATTTACTGGTGTCTATTTGTTGTTATTTGATGGAGCAATTGGGTTTCGGAGCTTCTGTATTCTAAAACAAATATGAAGTACGTTGATGTTTGTATTAGATGTGTTTTTATTTTTATTTTTTAATACTTGCTACTCGCGTACATATTTATTATCCTTTGCGAGTACATAATTAAAGCATTTTAGGGAAATATTTTCATTCACTACTTTTTTAATATGCGCACAACCAAAATTAAAAAAAGTCCAGTAATGTATTTTCTGCAACAATGTTATGCTAGGCGTTATTTGTGGTATTTCGTCTGCTCCGAGGCATTCTCGGTACTTTGGTGCAATGGAATGCTACAAAAAAGCTCTAAGAACCACTCAACGGCTGATCAAGAAAAAATTCCAAGTTTGCCTCCCGCCGACCTACCTAGTAGCGGTAATAATGCAGCTAAACCTCTGGGCAGATTGTAGGTAGTTTGTGTTGTGCATCTTGATGATGTTACGCGAACTATTAGAAAAAACTTCTGCTGGAGATAGGAATCGAATGCCGGACCTACCAACGTGCCAACTGACGCCAATTGAAAATCTCAACTGAAGCCAAGTCCTTCTCCACCTGGTTTTTCCATTGCTCCGCGTTGTAAACTTCCCGAACTGAAGCATATCTATACTTTTGTAAATCTCACACAGGGAATGCTTTCATGAAAAATCCGCCATTACCTTTATGTATTACGAACAATGAGTCAGCAAGCGAGCCAGGGACAGGGAGCTACAGGAGTGAACCACACAGGAACACAGTTACTCTGAAGCCCTTAAAGGTATCCCTGTGGATGTGCTGCCTTGTGACTGTCCTACTACGCGATTATGGACGAGATCGTCAAACGGTGGATGCATCCACTGGCGGTTTTCGGGGTATACTTCCGGTCCAGCATGCTCCTTGTCGACTTCAAAAATGAGCGGATCGCAGCCTGGCTGACAGAGAAGGCATCGAACATAGATGGTTGGAAGGGACCTGTGATGTGTACGATGTGCGAGGGGAGACGATGTACCGCGGGTGCACAATATCTCGGTGTTTCATCCGAGTAGCGCTGATAAATCGGCTGAGTACACGCTGGGACTTTTGAAGGTCCAGAACGAGGGCATTCACACTGCCGCGTGGAAGGTTATATCATGCAGCGCTGTTGAAAGCGGGCTCAAACTCAATAAGCATCAAAAGAGCCGGCTTCAACGTAAATTGTATGTAGGTACAGCTTCGTCACGATGACGCAATGACGGCAAAAGACGACTAACTTCCAAGACGTGCAAGTCGAGGCAACAGCTGACTCCACAGCTGTCCAAGCAACTGAGTCGACCATGCTCTAACCAGCCAACCAGCCACCTGAATAAGATAAAGTACCAGCTCCTTCTTGTGCTCCTGGTGCAGACACCACCACCAAGCGGACCGTTTACGTACGTAGCACACAGGAGCGCCTAGCGGATATAAACAGGTTAGAACTCGAAAGGAGAAGCGAGAGCGATGTATCTGCCCGTCCTATAAAAATACCGAACTTGGCACTAACCCAGGTCAACCTGCATCAAACGGTAGCTGCTTCGGCGGTCATTGCTAGCAGGTTTGGAAAGGAGGACTTGGGAAGCCGACTGATCCAGGGCTGCGGATCTACAAATTTGCCTCCCTGTACCAGTGTTCCGAAAGTACCTAGTGTAAATCCAGGGTTGTTTCGGTGTTTGCCCCCAAGCATGTTTTCATTCTTATAATTTACTACATACATACATATGTAACACTTTAAAATCTAAAAATATGATATGTGGGCATATATTAATTTTTGCCCTTGCCATCCACTACCAACGCCAATTAAATATTTAATATACCGCATCAGCTCGGCATTGACACTGCAGGGCAGATACGCACGAACAAATGTATGAATATACTTACATATATGTACTGATGCCTGTATGTACATACATAAGTACATTCTCCAAAGCCAAATTAAAGGTTAAATTAGTAGTGACATACCATAAAGCCATAGCCATAACCATTGCCATAAAAGTAACAACATTAACTATAATCGATTATAGGTACCGTAACCATAAACAGCTGATTTTTCGTAGTCAACAATGTCGGTGTTGCCAGACGCGGAAAATGTGTAATATGGTAGAATACTTGCGCAGAACTTCTTTCACTATCACTAATTAACTTCAGAAATCAGCTGATATGGTGATGGCGGAAAACCAAAATTCAATTGGTCTCTATGGCTAGGGTTATGGCTATGGCGTTATGGTGGGGCACCACTAATCTAATCGTGGCTATAAGGTGAGTTGGAACAGCTGTTATGTATATGGTTATGGTTATGTCACCACTAATTTAAGCTTAAACATACATACATACATACATACATATGTATGCGCTTCTGAAAATGACTAAGGTATTCACGTACGAAAAGTAACGTGTATGAGAATATTACGAAGACCAATCATCACACCAATCACCAGCTGTCATATTCCAATTAATTAATTAATTGTTTATTTATACAACCAGTACATTGTATGCATGCGTGTGTGTGTGTGTGTGTGCATATGTCAATTTGTATCAAGAATACATGCAGGAGATCCACTGCAATGCAACGCATAAAGCATCAGAAATATACATACATATAGATGTGGGTAAAGAGCATAGAGTTCCCGATAAATTCGAAGTGCTGAACGCAACTGCAAAGTGTTTTAGGCTGTCGCCATCACACGCATTCGTCACGCACTAAACGATCAACTCATCAACGCGCTGATAACTCATAAATCAAGCGCGTAAACAGGAAGCGCCGCCGTTGAGGCAACCTCATCTTGCCTGTGAACTATGGCAACATAATGAGGTAAATTATCAAATCAAGTGCTAAGATCGGTTTTATGGCTGCTGAATTTCTTCCTTCCTCTTTTTTATTAGGTTCGCATAGTAGCTGGCAGCAACCTAAAATGGTATCTACCTAAAACATTGGCCGACGGGGAAACTTGTTCTTCCGAGTAAGTTAATTATGATTGAGTAGTAGAACTGCCATCGATTCATTGTCGTTGTTGTTGTTATCGCTTGCTGCTATGCCATATCTACTGTAACGTTAATGGTATTCTTGATATTTGGCCATAAAGTGTGCATTTGATGATCGTTTGCATTTGCATGAATGATTTTTATAGCAACAATGATTTTGCTAGTTCCGTTTTCTGTGAATACCCCGCAGGAAATCGAACTGGGGTGGAGTTAGCTGATAATGGGACGGTATGGACTTTTTTTAACAAAGTGGTGCCATATTTAGGCGATAACTGAACGATGAACTGGTTTCGTTTTGGAAAGTTCAGGGAAAGCTCATCGGCCACTCTTTCTATTCCGTTGCACAGCCGATAAAGTATAATGCGGTACTTGGAACAGACACATTCATATTCTTGATTTGTACACTTAATTGAATACGCTCTTTATTCAGGTATGTACACACTATAGACTGGGTCGCGAAAAAATGTTTGCAACTATTGAGCCCAGGTTTTTTTTTTTTTGTATGGAAACCAACGCAGCATAAACTGTGGTGCTTACAAGCTTCGAAGACCTAGGCTGGTCTTCTTCAACAATTTAGAATATATTTGCCAAAAAAGAGATATCCAATCTGCTATCACCATTTCCATTACCATTACCAGTACCATTGCCATTACTGGAGCCATTACATAATTTTACCATTACCTTTATCATTATCAGCACCATTACCATGACGATTACCATTATCATTTATCATTATCATCTCGCCGCACAGTGGGGCAAAAATGATTGCTGTGGACAAATCAATTTTGGGAGCCCAAATATGAACATATTTTAAGTTAATTTTTTTTAATTAAAGAAAATTAAATTAAATTAAAATAAAGAAAACAAATATTTACGTTTGAATGCTTCCACTTTTTTGGAAAATACTTGAAATTAATTTCATATGCCTACAACTATTTAAAAAATTTATCGTAAACATTTTCCCAGAGGAATCATTTAATTAAAAAATGTATTTAATTTGTTACCTATACTAATATAAATTTTGAAAGCTGTTTATTTCTGTTCAAAAAACTCGAGAACAGCTATACTGATATTTTTGAAATTTTGGACATCGTCTGCAGACCCTCCAATGATGATAATAGAAGTAAAGTAATTTCGTTATATCAAAGAGGTGTGGCACCTCCCATACTTAGTATAGAAATATAAAATATCGACGCCAAACTCATGGAAAAAATAGGAGTTATTGAAAAAGGGAGCGTGGCACATCCCATATAAACTGAATTTCTCACACTAGAATGTGTATGTGGTATGAGAAATTCACCTAATACCTAAAAACAGCATCTAAATGCGTTTTTTGGTTCCTGCGACTATGGAAATGGATTACTTGGCGCAAGAGCAGCAAAAATGTGTAGTTAAAAAAAAACTTTTTAAAAAGTCCACTGCATACTATTTTCAGGTCAAAAAAGGAAAAAAAAAAAAAAATTATAAAAAAATATTTATTTATTTCCCTCCGCCTCTTTTAAGGTCATTTGAAAAGTCAAGGTATTTCTTTTTTTATCCAACGAAAATATTTTTCCTGAATTCTCCATCTCAAAAGCTGTTCTCGTTTTCCAGATATTAGAATTTGTCACGGAAAAAGTTCAATTTCCACACTGTGCACCATAATCGGTTTGTTTTTTTAATCAAATTTGTGGGGGCGGTTCATATATAAAATTGATATTCCTGCTGCACTGTGAGCTTGACCACCGCGAAACATAAATACATTTTTCGAGTTATTAAGTCATCTTGATCGCTTAAGGAGTCCGAACTCCTTACACTTTTTAAACTAAATAGCAACCGATATGGTTACTTGCATCTCCATTCATACGTAGCTTATAGCTTACTGTGCCATCAACATCCATATGGGAGTTTCGCGCCGTAGACGTTGTGTCGACAATTTTTTCTAAGAACTATTAAATTGCGCAATAAAGCAGAGAGAGGTGCATTCATTAAACAGTCGTTTAAAAAAATGTCTATCTTCTTGTCTGCTCACGTGCCTTGCAGTATTTGTTTGGCTGAATAGAGTTGCCCGGCTGGCCTGGATCTATTTGAATGGCTGCTTACAATTTTTTATTTTTTTAACAGCAAATGCATGGCGCTCAGTTTCGTTATTTTTCTAGCGTTTTTTTATTTTATTTTTATATTTATTCTTCAATGCTTAACACCTTCTTCGTATGCACACACTTCCACATGAAATGCGCCTGTTGGTATGTATGTATGTATGTATGTATATGGCATGTTTATATGCAAGTGCAAGTAGAAATTAAAAATCGCATTCACCCAAATTGTTTAATTACATAAAATTTGTGTACACAAACCATTTTGGTGGGGTTTTATGCGCTTTCCACAGAATTTTGTTTTTGAGTGATTGCATTTTATTTGAGTTGATTTGTTGAATTTACAAATTTATATTGTTTGCATTGTGGAATTTTATGATTGCCTACTTGTGTGTTGCAGAGAGGAAGTGCTGTAAAATAAAAATGGAAATTAATTTCCTAAATGGTTTCTGGAAAAGGCATTGTTGGTTCGAATCTTATGTTGATATATGTATGCACTTGTGCTTCTTCTTGTTTGTGGCTGAAGTCACATTAAGCTTAAAGCCATAAAAAAAGTAGTGTGCGTTGATGGAAGGCGGCGATGCATGCATTAGAAACAATATTTTTGCTTTTTATTTTTTGCTGTTGGTCGGAAACTGGGCTCGAACCCAGGCCCTGCGGAATTGTAGCGCACACTGCTATGTACTATGACACAGCGGCCGCCTTCAGTAAAATTGGCCAAGGCGACGTCTGCCGTCAGCACCGACCTAAGAACGAGCCTTGTTGAAGGTCGGTCGAGACAGGCAGGCGCGTCTTCTCGGCTTGTCACCCAATAAATCTATTTATTGTCTTCTGTGAGTGTGTAAATATCTATTATGTTCTAAAAGAAATGGTAGCCATCATGGCTGGCATCATCGGCAAGCCGTGTGAAAGTCTGTATTTAGTAGTTGGACCATCACCAACCTATGCAGCATGGTAAGCACTTCCATAGGGTGTCTTTGTATGTGAATCCAACTGCTGGCGTCGTAATTCATTTTCTCGACTAGATGGTAAATATTGTACATATGTATGTATGTATTTTTTAGGGTCGCCCTTAGTGATGATGATGTTTTTTAGCTTGTACATAATATGTATGTACATATATAAATACGCTTTCACTTGCTTACTACATCGGGCTGATTGGTGCGGCTTCAACACGCTGCATGCAAGCTTTACGTTTTCGTTGCCCATGGTTTTGTTTGTGTAAAGGATCAACGTTGTGTTTGCGTACGCCTCTGTTAATTGCCCATAGTGGTGCACGTTTAAAGCCTCTCGTAAATCCACCCATGTCAGGAGCGTACGAGTAGAGGTCGCCTGTGTGTTAAAGCGCCTGGCGCACAAATGTCTGTCCGTGTGCAAGTATTCAAGTAGACTGTTTGCCTCCAAGGAAATTGCCCTTCTGCTTCTTGTGCATACATTTTTTATTTTTTTTTTGTGTTGCGCCATTTAACTTTTTTATATTTTAAGTAAATTGTGGCTGACATTCGTTGCGGTAGACTCGAATGGATGTACCTTTTGGTGGTTGAGAGTGCAACTTGAAATATGTTTGTTATGCGTTGTAAAGTTAATTGTAAATTAAATATTGATTCTTTAGACTTGTGGCATTGATTAAACACATTTAAGAATTTCTTAACAACCAATTGTTTTGATCCTTACGCAGATAACGAAAGCAAAGTTTGAGAGTTGTAAAATTCATTAATCGACTCTAAAGATTTGTATGACTTAGTTAGTTAGCTAGTTATCTAAACAACAGATGTAGCAGAAGAAGAACACTGCGACCTGAAATTTAATTTTTATCTCTTACAGATGTCCCTAACCGTGAATGTCGAAAATGCCGTCAGTCTCGATAATAAATAGTAAAAGGACTATGCTTGACTAATTCCTTATTCTAAGGGATTCGACTGTGATTGGCCGATGATTTTAAATGCAACAATCTTCGCCTGCAAAAGTTTGGGCAATTGGTCCGAATAACCGGCTTGATATCTAGAGAGTGGGCTGATATCTGGAATATTTAAGATGCTGATTCTCCGCCCAAAATTTATTGGCTTTTGACCTTATCCCCTCAGTAAGTATGATTCTCGAAGAGAACCAACTGAGACCATAAAATGGTGTCGGTCCCACAAAGGCAGGTTAGTATCCTTCTCGTGCAGGTAGCTGGTGACCTTGTAACCTTTTACCTCATATTAGCCTGGAAACTAATACAGTGGGGCTCGAGCATAACAAGTGAGCCTAAGCTACGACTTAATTTTTAATACAAATTCTTGACCTTCAGCTTCACTTCATCAGTGAAAAAATTGAGTCGGAGTTTAAGGCCACATTTTATGCCTGAGGCCCAGTGTCACCGCATTTCTCAATATGTGATTGGATCATTCAATGTGAAAGAGAGAGAATAGACGCTTAGCTATCTGCAAAAATGCCTGACAGATTAAAAGCAGTTTTCTCAAGCAGATTTTTGAAATTTATCTGCCGTTTAAGCACATTTTTTGTGCAAAACAAAATTTGGGTTTAAAGGGCAGATAAAGTTCAAAGTCTACTTGAGAAAACGGCCCTAAGATTGCTAATACCAGAAAAATTGTATGCCAGAACCATAAATATCAGCATTTGCTCTATCATCCATCCTTGACTCGTCAATAATTCGCTATCTGGAAGCTTCACTAGAAAATTTTTTTCTAAACAGATCTTCTTGGTCCTGGTCTCTTTCCACCTCCTTCACCAACGAACGAGCAGACTGACGTGTCTGAAAGGGGACATATACAAGTGGTCGTGTAGTTCTGCTTAAAAAAATATTAGGTAAAGCCCATCGTAGAAGCGTACGTCGCAGTCGCAGTTGAGCAAGCTCTCATTGATCCAGTGGCTGAGATATGCAAAGTTTAAAGTCTTTTGAGATGTAGTGTCGCAGCACAAAACGGACGATAGGTTGCGCGGTAAAGCTAGTCTATTCACTTTGAGAGCTCAAACTCATTGTCCTACCAAATCAGCATCACAAAAATTTTAGTAACTCGAATATTAATATTTTTAATAAGCGGTGACCCTTGCCATTATTCTAAAAAGATGTACAGATTAATCAATTTTATTTTTATAATTTTGAATTTTGTCGGATGTCAGAGGGAAATAACCCAAAGCAAAAATTTTACAAAAAATTTAACAAATGCGGTACTTTCGATGCAATGCAAAAATACATTTTTTTCTTCCCATCAGAGCTGTCATAAAATACTGCTGAAATTTTTAGAAGGTGTGATTTTATCAGCTTAAAAAATCGTTAAATATAACTTCTATTCAATCCTCCCATTATACATTTACACTTTCGATATATGCACTACATTAGGCTGGTCCAAAAATATACAAGAAAATCAACTTTTTAGAACTTTCTTGCTGCCACAACCCCGGAATTATAGGAAATGGAAAATAAGGAGACTTGTACATATTTCTTTATTTTGCAGTCGTGATTATATGCAAAAAGTACATACATATTTTGGACCAGCCTAAAGTATATACATAACTTATTTGCACATAACCGCAGAGTCACTTATTTGTTTGTGATTTGAAAGAAGAAAAAAATACTAAAATCAGTTAAAAATAAATCATGGGAATAAAGCTAGTAAGATGAACCAAATCTATTTATATCCACAATTTGTTTATTGTGTATTGTATTTATGGAATTCAATGCCTTATTTTATTGGACTTAGTGTTTGAGTGGTCAGCGGGTGCCACCAACATCATGCATCCAGCGTACCCAATACTCACATTTCGTATACATAAATGGTTACATATGTATGTATATACATATGTATATTCCTACATCCATATAGTCTCCCCCCCCCCACTACACCCACAACGGTAATTTAATCCTTTTTCCTTTACTCAAACCCCTCGAATGTCACTACGACGAATTACTCTCGATTGTCTTTTAGCCAGTGTCGCCAATGAGTCACTTAGCCATTCCATTGCTGTGTCTGCATTTCATCTGAAAAACAAAATATTTACTTTTGCCTTTCTTCTTTCAATACAGCCTTTCGCTGGAACTGTAATCGGATTCCAATAGAGTTATGCTTACAGTTGAATCGCATGAAATCTGCATAGGGTGTCAAAAGAACTGATTAATTCTCTATAAATTTGTATCGTTCGAATAACCAACTTGTTAAAAGTTTAAAAATGCTTATAACTAATTACATTAATTCCACAAAAAAAAACAAAAATATAATTTCTGATTTTGTGTAAAACTCGCGAGAATTCAATAAATTTGCATGCAAATTTTCAATTTTTTAATCAGATTTTTTAGATTTTTTTTAAGCATGCGGTTTTGTGTTATATTGTAGTATAAAAAATGCAAAAATACAAATTTTTGCATATATTGTAAAAAATTCTCTCGGCCAATACTTTTTTCCGGCAGTGTAAATGTATGAACGTTCTACATAGATATGTAAAAGACCCACTTTGCCAGCACATAAAAGTCCGTATTTTTTCCAACTTCCTAAAATCTATGAAAAAGCGAGCGTTTCTGTCGGGATGACGAAGAACCATTACCCTCTGTTTACTATGTATTACTGCAATTTTTATCACCACCTTCGATAAGGTATATTGATCCTTCTTCTCTTGCGTCTTGTAAGAACTCCGACGGCATTAGATACATCCCGTCTCTTAAAAGGATGCTACGTTATCTCGTGTGAACTCACGTTTGGCTGGAAATTTAAAAAGTCGAGCGGCCTTTTCGTACTACTCCTGCGTTTATATGAGAATACATATACATACATACATACTATGCAATCATAATTGGTACACGAATTATTATTACCTATGTTTGTATTAAGATTTCCACATTAGGGTTGTTCGAAATGTATTGGCTAAATTTTTTAATGGTGTCTGATTTCTTAATTTTTTGAAAGATGCATATATTTTTCGAGAAAATTCATTAACCAAGTTTGCAGTTGTATAGACATTTTCGAACATATACGGGAGAATGGGGACTTCTGGTATGTTGTTCTGTTTTTGTGTTTATTCCCTGAACTAAAAATGAGACCTCAATAAATTTATATCAAAGTTTGCGTATACATATATGTATGAATACCCAGCAGAAAAAAGTTATCAATTGATAAAAAATAACCCACTTGTAGTAAGCTTTTTTGCGGGATTTCTATAAAATATATAACCCGTAGTTAGCTACAAAAAGCTAACTTTAAACTAGTGGACCAGTAATTCAGGAGTAATTGTTTTCTTTAAACGCATTTCTATTTAAATATCCTGCACTTCGCAAATACTTTTTCGAATTGAGGACAAATAAAAGGAAGATCGAAATTTCATATTATCATTTTGAAATTATGTCTGACGGAGTTCCAACATGGGACCACCTACAGCAGAATATGTAAACAAATATGAAATGTAATAATGTAATAAATAAAGTAATTAAAAATAAAAAAAAATAAAAAAAAAATATTTTGTTTTTCCTATTGATATTTTATGTCCAAAAGTAGCTAGTTACTAGTTAGTTACATCAAATGCAGAGGTAACCACCCTTGACTACATCAAATGCAGAGGTAACCACCCTTGACTATTTCGCGGCCATCGCCATTGAAATATAGTTAGCTTTCGTCAAAGAATATATCGAGCCCTAACCGCCAAAATAACGTAAGCGACATTTTTTCCAAAATTTTATTTTTGATGCGGAAATATTCCTAGAGCATCTAGATGCATTTCTGCATCAAAAATAAAATTTCGAAAAAAATGTCGCTTACGTTATTTTGGCGGTTAGGGCTCGATATACAGATAATAAGTGACTTTTAACTCCTTCCCAATCAACTTACAAGTTAGCTTATAGTTAGATCCATTTCCTGCAGGGTATGTTATGCATTCACTTACTGTCAAAACCAATATTGCTGTATGCTACCTTTAATAAGCATCATGGCAAAAGAGATAATAATGGTGGTAACAGCTGTCGCTCAGCAACGTCATCGAGCTGACGCCATTGCCATTCAGCAAACCAACCACTCGGCAGTAGAGCGAGAGCAAAGGTAGTTAAGGTGGTGGTGGTGGTGGTGGTGGTGGTTTTTGTGGCCGTTGACTGTGCTGTTGCTGTAGTTGCTTATCGGGGAAGCGCCACGGCTCACAGGCGCAACTACTGCTGCTGCCACAATTAACCTGGTGCCAAACAAGTTTGACTGCGGTGGTGATTTCAATTGTTGTACATATATTTGTATGCAACTGTGTACTTTTGTGCAGTGTAGTGGTGAGTTGTATCTGAATATCTGAATATGTACATACATATTTGCAGTAGATATTTGCCGTGTGAGTGCTGTGCTTTTGATATTCGTTTTGTCAGTGTCGTCGATGGCAATAATGATGATTCCGATGATGTTTTGCTGTTGCGGTTGTTGTTGATGATTTTGTTGGCCCGAAGGCGGGGCCTAAATAATTTTCACTACGTAAACGTTGCGTAGCGTACATTCATGTATGTATGTGGTTGTATGTTTGTATGTATGTAAATGTTGTTGTACGTTGTGTGAGTAGCTTTACTTTGGCGAGTTTGGCACGCCCCAGTTAGATACACAAATATTTATGTATGTATGTAGATACACTTTATTTAGCGCTTTACTACACTCATGCCATCGACGAATATGCTGCCAAATAGCTATCACATAGTAAATTGACTATTATTATTGTTGTTGTTTTTAGCGTACGCATATATTATGTAGATTTTTTTTTTCGCTTGTTGTTGATTTTTTTGCGACTCTTATTGAGGTGTGAAAATTCGTTGTGAAAATGTTATTTGAGTGAGGCAGTCAGTCAGATATGTAGATATGTAGGTATGCGTTTTTTCATCAGCTCGTTACGTTGGTGGATTCATTAACATTTTCCACTTGGCGCCAGATTATGAAAGGTTTTTGATCGAAACAGTGGAAACAGAGCAAATGAAAAGCTTTTGGATTTTTTTTACCCAACCAGAGGCTAATTAGTAAAATGGCGGCAGACCTAAACGTATTGTATGTATGTACTACATATCTGTAGCGTAGATACGTATTGATGGCGACGCCGGTATTAAACTCTCTGGAAGCTAATTCAAGAAAAATTCCGTTCGACATAAGAAATTGCTGTAGAGTGGCCATCGCCAAAAAAATCAAATTTCGCGTTGCACAAAATTTACAGTCAAATAAATTTTTTATTTATTTTCTTTTCGCTCTTCAGTCGCTTTGGATTGCTGTGTGCGCTTACTTGGGCCATCTTCCACTGGCTTCTGGTTCGATTATATCAAAAGTTTGATTATGAAGCCATTTGGCTACATGTCTATATCTATGTGTGCACATTAGACTGGTTAAGAAAAAAATTAACTTTTTTCTAATGGTGATTTCGTATTTTTTTCAAAACACATTTTGGCCTTCCCCGGTGCAAAATGTGTTTGATGTTACACTCAACCCTGTAAAAAGGCATGTTTGTGCCTTCTTGTCCTTGTCTTGCTCACACATTTCATAATATTGTCGTTTTAAACAAACACCTGATTTTCAGGGCGACCATCTCCCCTGACAAAGCTTCAAAGGGCAGAGGATGTGCCTTTTTTGACTTACAAGAGTGTTACATTTCAAGAAACGAACACACAATTTTCTCGCCCTTTGCCTTTAATTTAAAATCGAACACGAAAAGACAAAGGGGCAATCAAAAGGCACCACTTTTTGGTAGAAACGAAATCATCAGGGAAGACAAAAATATGCAAATGCATATCGCATATGTTTCATTCTGCATCTATTGTATCTAACTGCTCAATGCCAGCAACAAAAATTTTTTGTGTGAAGCAATATTTTCACCTGGATAATTGTCATCTTTTAATTATTGTCCAACGTCTTGTAACGTAGAACGTTCATTTTCAATACATATACATAATTATATAAAACAAATTTTTATACGATAATCGAAAAAATTTTCGTTGGAAAATATATGTACATTGTAATCAGAGCTGTTAAATTTCCATTACGATTAGTAATCATTATTTTTTTTTTTGCATTTTTTAATTTTAATGATTATTTAAATTTTCTTACGTAGCCCAGCCATTAATAATTAATTATTAGATAATTATATTTATAAAAAATAGATAATCATGATTAATTGCCGTTAAAAAAAAAACAATCAAAAATAATCAAGTAATTAGGAATAATCAAATAATCAAAATTAATCAAATCGTTTTTTTTTTTTTAATTATTTGATTATTTTTAATTGTTTGATTATTTTTAATTATTTGATTGTTTTTAATCATTTTTATCGTTTTTAATTATTAAATTATCTTCAATTATTTGGTTATTTATAACTATATGATTATTTTTAATTATTTTTCCATATAGATGAAGTTGTGTTTTTTACCTGAAAACAGTATGAGGTGAACTTTTTGAAAAGTTTTAAACATATATTTTTGGTGTTCTTTAAATGCGAAATTTTAATTAGATTTCTTAGAAAGGTTTTGACTTACCGTTGATTTTTGGAAATTTTTTTCTTGGCCGTGTCAGTCATTTCCTTTTATACGATAAAAAAAAACTATTGAAGTAATGTTAAACTTGACAATTTAATAGTTTAAGATAAAAATGTAAATCTTTTTTTCTATTATAAAATTAAAAATTAGGAAACAATTTTATGATAGGTATTTAGTGATAGGTTTTCACATTTTGCCGAAAATTAAAAAGAATCGTACAATGTTTTATTCTACACATACATGCAAACATACTGGTCTCCCCTCTCACTGAGTTATTCACATATGTTCGACTTTAACCTTGAAAAACTTTTGGAGGAGTGGATTTATGGAAAATTCATAAGACTTTTTTACAAGATACAATTTCCAAAATTTCCAGATTAAAAATTTTTTCCTGTGTTATTTATGTATACATACCTACTTGTACATATATGGAAAATAGAAGTTCGCGCTGAGCTTTTGACAGGCGACTTTTTTATTTCACAAGGGATGTGAAAAAGGGAAATGTTCGATTTTTTTGAAGCAGTCTAATGTACATACATCCATAGATCTGTAAGCATACATACATACATATGTACGCGCTGTGCCACAAACAGGCAGATTGTAATATCCCTGTCGTTTGCATAATTTCGCTAATTTTTGTGTTTATATTTTCATTAGCGTTTTTTTTTATTTTATTTTTTAACCACATGCACATATTTACACACACACACACATTACCCAAAAACATTCCAAATTTTATTTTGCTTTTGTGATTTTTAATTTTTTATTGGTATTTTTTTTTATTTGTTTGGCAAAAACGAATTTGCTTTTGTCTTTTAGCGCATTTTAGGATTTGCATTGTTGTTATTTAGTCCTTTGGTGGTGGTGCTATTTTTTGCTGCACGTTATGCGATTTTTTTATTGTTTTTTGTGTTGCTAAAATTTATTTGGAATTTTAATTGCATAAATATTATTTTAAAGATTATGAGATTTATTTGGCGAATGTAATAAAATGCGAAATTAAATAGAACGCATTGCAGTTGAGTGTACTCACTTATGTACGTACATATGTATGTGTGCAAATGTTTGATTGCTAGTGTATTTGTACGCATATCGAAATCCGGCGTTAGTTACTTCGTGATTTTTAATTTTATGTTATTATTATATGAGATTTTACCATAAACATTTAATTAACTTTTTAAAGCATAAATCTATCAATTTGTTTATATGTACTATATTTTTCTAATAGAACAGTATAATAAAAAAGAGTAAAAGTAAATAAATTACATAAAAGTTAGAAGGTAATCAATAAAAATTAATTGTGTGAATTCACAACTGCAAGTTGAAAAAAGAGAAAAAAGCCAAACTTCGGAATATATAGGCCAAAACTAGATTTTTGCCTGCACCTGCAAAACAATATACCAAGCGCACCCTTTGATGGCGCCGCTAGAGATGCAACGAGGGATTTATGGTCACAAAAATGGGTTTTCGCGAAAATCGTTAGTTAAGCGGTCACTCGTACGAATAATTTGATGCAGAAAGTGGTAACCCCCAGTATACATTAGGGCTATGCTTTTCTGGGAATTGTTTTAGATACTCTTATTTTGTGAAAAAATAACCAGCTTACCGCTTATAAGGATATTTAAAAAACGGCTGCTTCCGAATGTATCCATACTTTTTTTTTCCAATTGGGTCTGATTTTCCAATTATTGCGAAGTTTTCAGTATAAGACATCATGTTTGAATCAGGCATTTTCGAAGTATTTTCAATTACGATCAATATTTTTTAATAACACCTTGAATTTGGTGTAAATTTTTGTAGGGCTGGACCATATTTTGGAAAGGTATTTCAAAAATACCAGTTGAAACTACATACGAATTCGTTAGTAGAGATTGAAAAGAGTGTATATTCGGAATAATTGGAATAATAACCTAAATATAAAAAAGAAAATATTTTATTGTTAAGTTTAATCTTGTCCTTAAATGTCCTTATATATATTATATTTTCCTAAAAATGCAAAGCCCTAATGCGTACTATAGGTTACGAAAAAATAATTAATCTTTTTGTAGCCAATGTCCTGAGATACAAATTGGGTAGCCACAATTTTTTCATAAAGTGAAGTTAACTAAATTTTCACAAAAAAACACTTGACTTCTCGTAGCTTCTCTACGGGCATTTGGATCTTTGGGTACTTTTGGAATGTAGATTAGATCCACAAAAGGAATGTCTTTGCAAAATTCAGGTTTCACCTAATTATTCCGAAATGTCTTCACTGCCCGTACAAAAAGGTATTGAACATTTTTTAATAAATTTTGCTGTGTACATTATAGGAATAAAAAAGTGTTTCTAACAATGTTACGATACGACCGAATTCTTATACTGTGTTCTGACCGACAACGAAAACACTTTGAAAACGAGTTTTGGGATTGTGGGCTGAAGGCTGTCCACACCGGCTGTTAGTGTTTTCGTTGACATTTCTTGCATCCTCTGGTTACATTTTTGCTACACAAAAACAAAACCAAAATGCTTGTCCCTCATTTTCTTTTCATTAGCAACCTCTTACTTTCATTCTTATTTTACTTTGACCAGCCAATTAAAAATAAGTCCGAAATAGCGTATTAAAGATGACAAAATATTACTTCCACTTCGATAAATAATCGAAAAAAAACTAGTGAAGACACCGATTGGAATGAGTGGAACGTGAGTTTTCAAGTAGTTTTCAGCGAAAACTGGTTTTCGTTTGACAGATTTTACATAGACGAAAACACAAGTTTTAGATCGAAAACCAGTTTTAGCAAC